TTAACTTTGATGAAATAATGGATCATGGTAAAAAAAAAAAAAAAATAGCCATGAATCTATGTGCAGTATTCCCCTAGCGCTGGAGTTCTCCCGTTCTCCTTGATCGATCAACTTGGTCTTGGCTTGCTGGCTGTTTGTGCTGATCTTCTGGGGGAGGGGCCTGTTGCTGTGGTTTCCAAATGTCTTTGCCGGAGGCGGAATTGCCCCGCCCTTGTGGGTCCGGGCTAAGGAAGTTGCTCCGGTTTGCTCTCAGGAGCTTTTGTTCCCTGCAAGCTCTCCGTACAGCCTTGGAGGACCAAGGCAGAAATGGTGGCCTCCCAATCTCCACCCGGAGGAGCTGAGAACTCGGGGCCCCGCTCCTCAGTGTGCCCCCAGAGAAAAGCAGTCACTCCCGTGTCCCTGGTCTCTGGCCGCTCTCCGTGCTCACCCGGCCTGTGACCGAGCGTTGCTATCTCTGGCACCCGACCCTGTGTGGAGTCTCCAATCCCAGCAGATCACTGCGGTGCGTTCCCGTGCCACTCCTCCCCGGGAAGGAAGGGGAGTCTCCCCGGGTCTGCCGCCTGCTGGGTCCCTGCTGGAGGAGCCGTGCCCCGACTGGGCCGCAGATCACAGTTTATGGCAACCCCGAGCTGAGAGCCCGCGACTCTGCTCCGTCTCTGCAGCCGGCTTCCCCGCTCCGATACCTGGGAGCTCTGGCGCACTCAGGCACCCCCGGTCTCTCTGTGACCCCAAGGGTCCTGAGACCACACTGTCCCGGGAGGATTCCACCCCCCGCTTAGCCACTGCAGCGACGTCCCTCCACGAAGCTAACTTCTAAAAGGTCCGATTTTGTGCTCCGCGGCTCTAGAACTTGCCAGAAGCGGCCAGCGGAGGCCCCTCCCCCGCCGTCTATCCTCCCAAATATCGCCTCGGATTCACTTCTCCGCACGTCCTACCTTCCAGAAAGTGGTCACTTTTCTGTTCAGAGAGTTGTTGCTACTCTCTTCTTCGGTCTCCTGTTGAGTTCGTAGGTGTTCAGAATGGTTTGATCCCTATTCAGCTGAATTCCTGAGACCAGACGAAATCTAGGTCTCCTACTCCTCCGCCATCTTGCTCCGCCCCCTCCTTAACACTGTTCTTAAATATAAAGTTTTGCAACAAACCTTTGATTTATATCAAATATAAGTAAAAATTAACAAATGAGTACATTGTATCAAAAAGTACGAAGATATACATTTCATGCACATACTTGTATATATGTATATATGTATATATTTTACATGCACACATAACTTAATCAAACTACAGCCACTGCTTCACTGGTCCAGATGCAGACAACTGGTTAATGCATTTCAAATTTGGCAACTCACTATGAGATCTCAGTGGAAACATATGATAGCTGAGAAGAGACGATACAGAAACAAAACCCAAAGTCAGGAAAACAAGACACAGTATCTCTTCCCCCACTCCCTGTAGTTTTCACCAATTCCAGTGTCTAGAAGAATCCAGACAGACTGGTGAGGCTGTGTGGGGCTAGAACAGTGATTCTCCACCCAACATGGCCTGGGAAGCAGCTGTGGTTCTGCACAGAATGGATACATTCACAATAACATGGGCCAGAGATGAAACATCAGTATCAAAATACACATTTTTCTGCTTTGCAACAGGAACAGAGCTATCTCATGCAGAGTCTGAGATACCATTCCAGTTGTTATTTCCTATTGCAGTAACATACTCTGTAATCTTAAAGTTTCAGAGTGTTGTGCCTTCCAGTAAGGAGATTCTATAAAATGGTTTGGTCACAATCATGCTGAAACCCTAGAACAGGTGGTGGTCTTACGTGATTTATTTCTATTGAATGTGTGTCTTTTGTTGCATAGCCCTATGGGTTAATGACACCCACTCACTGGGACACACCTCCACACAGAGAAACGCACACACACGTCACAGGCCAAGTTTCTTTAAGGTGAGTCATGGGGCAACAGCCAATGGGAACACTCAAATGATCCAGCGAGGAGATCATCTGACATTTCCAAACACAGAGGATGCACCAAAATCTAATCATCTAAATATTCCTTTTGTTCATGAAACAAAGGGTCTCCCGGCATTTTATGCACAGCCTCCTACTTACCGTGTTTCCCTTTTGACAGTGACCATGAGGTTGGATTTCCGTTTCGCTTCCTGCTTTCCCATGTCTTGTGCCACAGTGCTGGGCTTCAGATGGCTCCTACCTTAGCCTCAGTCGCCAAGCTTCTCCTTGCCCCATCGCTTCCTCAGAGTTTTGGCCTCATTTCAGTCGGGGCATCCCTAGTGCCCGCATCTGCACAGACACAGGCCCTCCCTCCTGCCCGCCAGGTCCATCTCCACTCCCCCACCTTTCCCTCTTCCCACGACCTCTCCCTCTCTCTGGCCTTATCTGAAAAGAAACTTTCACGACAACAGATACCACACCCTCTTTGGCAGGCATCCCGTCCCTGAGAAACAGAGGTAGAACAGACTGAAAACACCCCATACAAGGACACGCTCTACACTGCTCTGTGGCTTCCCAGGAAACCCTTCCACTCGTGGGAGGAAAACAGGGAAATGGTCGCTTCATTTCCAATTACAACCGTCCCACTGGATGTCATATGAGTGTTCTCCCTGGACACCAGCTTTCTACTTGGTTGATATTTGGAACTGGAAACAGTTCCAAGGATTCACCCACGCTTCACACAGGCTTTACGTCACCGCCCCCAGGAGCCTGGCACAAGAGGGCTCGGAAGTCAGGCACTTGGTCGAGAGCAGCAGAAGCCAGGGGAGCTGGGGGGCCACCCAGGCTGGACGCAAGAGCATCTCCTCGCACAAGCCACACACACACACACACACACACACACACACACACACACACACACACACA